TCTCTTCATCCAGCTAACGAGGCAGCCGGCGGAAGAAGGTGATCAAGTTTGTTTGACAGGTTGTACTTTATAAATCCATGCTGGGTGCTTGTAAAATGGCCTTTCTTAGGATATGCTCTAGTAATTTCCTGGATATCAAGATGAGGCTAACCAACCAATAGTTCCTTGGATCCTCCTTTTTCCTGTTTTAAAGAAGGCACTATGTTGACCCCTTTCCAGTCCTCAGCTTGTCCCCTTCTTTATCCAAATAATTCGTATTAGGTATCTAGTTGCAACTTAACATTTTAGTGAAAATTGAGGCAAAGTAGCTGTTGAGTAGATCTGCCTCTTGCATCTGCTATTAAGAGTTTGCCGTGGCTATTTAACAATAGGTCTGCTTCTTCCTTAGTCTTTCTTTTCTGGCCTACATACTTATAGAACCTTTTCTTATTGCCATAACCTTTCTCACCAGGTGCATCTCATATTTTACCTTGGCCTTCTTGATTTTGTTCCTCCATGTTCTTGCTATTTCCTGGTGTGCGTCCTTGGTGACCTGCCCATCTTTCCACTGCCTGCATGCTTTCCTTTTGCATTTGAGACATCCTAGAAGGTCCTTGTGCATCCACATAGGCCTTTTGCCATTCTTCTTTTTCTTCCTTTGTGTCTGAACTGTTTCTTATTGGGCTTCCAATATTGTGCCCTTTAGAAGCTTCCAGCCCTCCTGAGCACCCTCCGTATGTCACCCCATGGCACCATGCCTACTATCTCCTTAAGCTAGTTAAAATCTGCCTTTTTGAAATCCAGTGTCATAGTTTTGCTGACTTCGTGCTTTCCCCATCTCAGTATCATGAATTCTATCGTATCATGATCACTTCCTCTCAAGTTTCTTATCATCTTCATGTCTTCCATCAATTCTTCCCAATTGGTTAGGACAAGATCCAACACGGATGATCCCCCATTTGTATCCTCAACCTTTTGGAAACAGAAAGTTGTCCCCCACAAGTTAGGAATTGGCTTGGCATTTTATTTCGCTGTATTATTCTTCCAGCAGATGTCTAGACAATTGAAATCTCCCATCAATACCATCTCATAACTTTGGGATAATTTGGTCACCTCCTTGAAGAGCGCGACCTAATGATCTAAGGGAAGCTGGGTGACAGTGACCACGAGCTGATCACCTTCATCTGCCATAAAGCTGGCAAGTCAGTCAGCAATGCAGAAGTCCTCGACTTCAGGAAAGCTGACTTTGACAAGCTAAGGAGGCTAGTCAGTGAGGCCCTAAAGGGCCACAATCCAAAGAGGAGGGGAGTTCAGGACAAGTGGTTGCTCCTCAAGGGAGCAATCCTGGGTGCACAAGCAAAGTCTATCCCGACTCAGAGGAAAGGCAGCAAAAGGGCACAGCAGCTCCCTTGGCTCTCCAAGGAACTGGTGGACCTCCTGCATCTTAAAAGGAAGACCTACAAAGGATGGAGGACTGGAACCATCACCAAGGAGGAATACTCTGCTCTGGTCTGGATCTGCAGAGAGCAAACCAGAAAAGCCAAGGCTTCCTCCTCCTGAACCAGGGAACAGGTTCATGCATGCTTTTTACATACGAGGTGGCATCACCACCTTTTCTCCCAATCCTATTGTTCTGAAACAAAGTATAGCCTTCAATGTTGACATTCCAGTCATAAGATTTGTCTCACCCGGTCTATGTTATACCAATCAGATCATAGTTTTTTTCACAGGCTGTGACTTCCAATTCACTTTTTTTCTCCATACTTCTTACGTTTGTATACATACATCAAACCCTTTTGCATTCCAACCTATACGTTTCTCTTTTGCATCACTTGTTGCTGACCTGTGGCTCTGGCCCTGTCCCAGAGTTGATCTGCTTCTTCTAGTCCTTTCACCAACCCCCATGGAACCTAGTTTAAAGCCCTCCTTACTAGGTTTGCCAGTTGATGCTAAAAGATGCTCTTTTCAATTCTAGTTAAATGGATCCCATCTCTTGATAGCTGTCTGCCTCCACAGAACACCTGTCCATTATTAAATAATCCAAAAGCTTCACATCAACACTATCTCAGCCACAGGTTTACTTCCATGATACAATGATCCCTGCCTGGATCTGTGCCTTCCTCTGTGAGGACTGATGAGAATGCAATATACGCTCCAAGATCCTTAAACTTTTTCAAACCTCCTTTGCTCCCTGCAGGGCACCTAGGCCAGGGCTGCCATCTTGGGGCTCTACTAGCTATGCCAGCCAAAGTAGCAAGTGCTGGGGAGAGCTGCTAGGGTGTGATGCTGGGGACCACTTCTCTGGCCACTAGGGAGTGCTGCTCTAGCAACCACCATTCTGCCAGTTCTTTTCAGGTTGCTATGCAATCCCAGCTCCTGCTTGAAGTCTGCTGCAGTTACCCACAGAGTGGCTTCACTGTTTGGCAGTATCTCTACCTAATAAATAAAAGGACAGTGAAGGAAGCTTTTTTTTCAAGGTGGCATGTGTTAAGCCTATTGCCTTTTTGGGGGATTAAAAGGGAATCTTTTCTTGTTAGGTCAAATTGGCAGTGGTCTGAATTTATTTGCTTCCCTCACACCATTGTGGAAGCCCAACTGGGATAAAGAATACGATCTTTCTTGTCTGTCTTTCTATGGGGAGGTTCAGGTTGTCACCACTTGTAGTATGTGTCCAATGCAGGGTTAATAGGTACATCTCCTGGATTTAAATAAGACTTGCTGGTGAACCTTGCAGTTGTAAGGAGAAGGGCAGTGGCAACGTGTAGAGCACCAGTGTGCCCTGAATGAATGCACTGGCTGCTTAGGCCATGGGCACGGGGGGCAGGCGAGAGTGCCGGTGCCGTGCCTGCAAGCGCCAGCCGATCACTGCGATCACTGCAGCTGCTTCTGGGAGTGGCTGGTGCATACTCTCGGAAGTGACTAGTGATCTCCTGGGGGGACCCCCCACCAGTTGGCGGGACTGGCCTCAGGGAGGGCAGTTGCCCATGGAGAAGGGAACAATTGAAGTCCTAGGGACTGAAATGCTTCAATGGTACTTCAATGGTACTTCAATGGTACATTTTATCCCAAATTGAGCTGAGTTCTAAGATAATAGTCTGGTGGCTGTTGGCTCTACCTTAAGCTATTGGTTCTATCCCCCCTTTGCCTCTGGTTAAATGTTTGATGCATGAGATGGGGGGTGTGTTCCAAACCATATTCTGCTTAAAATCTTTCCTAGTGTCTGTCTCATTCATTGTTGTGCCCCGAGGAACGCACCAAATACTTGGAAATAACTGAGTTTCTTCTGGTTATGAAGCCCTTCATATATCCATGTGTAGCATGATTCTTGTTTAGAAGCCAAGTTCTTCACTGTTTTTACTTCCCATGGAAGTTTATACAAATTAATGGGATTGAACTAGAAGTTATGTATGGGCTTAACTGAAGGCATGCTATCTGCAGAAGAAACTTTTAAAACTTTTATGAAGTGGGGGAGCTGGCCCAAGTGAGGTTTTTTTTGTAAGCAGTCCTGTTCATTTAATAGAAAACATGTTCCTGATGGCCCATTTCTTTCTTTTTCTTTTCCTTCTAAATTAGAAAAAGAGGATGTATGTGTGTTTCAAGAAGTAACTTTGTTAAATCCTGGGCAATTTATGATTCAGTATTTGGATGGAGATCTTTGTTACACAGTACAGTGTTTACAAGAAAAAGATCATAACACAGGATATCATGCTATGGATTTTACAGTGGTGAACTGTTCTCAGCAATGTGAGACTGTGAGTATTTTTAAAACTTACTAATGCTGTAATTTATGAACAGAACTTTATGATTACAAATGATAGATTGAAGTAAAGAAGGCTACTATTTAAGAAAGTGCAGTAAGTACTTAAGAACTTAGCAATGGTGATTGCTCTACCTAGGCCCTAGACATGCATAATATTTGTTGCACTGCATTTACTGCTTTTGTGCAAATAAAAGAGTATCCTCATTTTCACACTGGTTTTTGTTGCACCAAAGAAATGGTCATTTCATCACAAAAATGGTGGATCCGTGACAATTAACTCTTTTAACCAACAATTTCTTTGTTGTGGTAAACTTTTCTGCAATATGTTTAACATATGTACAGGGTTCTCCAGACCCCAGTGTCCCCAGGCTTTTAACAGTCTCCCACAACATTCTTATAAGCAAGCTAAGGAAATACAGACAACATGAAATATTATAAAGTGGATAAACAACTAGTTGTATCCTCATACTCAGTGAGTGGTCATCAGTAGCTCAATGTTTAGCTGCAAGGAGGTATCAAGTGGAGTCCCCCAGGGGGTCTGTCAAGGGTCCAATGTTGTTTAATATCTTCATTTCTGATTTGGATGATAGGATTGAGTGCATGCTAATTTGCAGATGTGACGCAAGGTTGGATGGAATTAGACATTCTAGATTTAGGGCTAGGATCCACAATGATTTGGATCAACTGCAGAAATGGTATGTGGTCAGTTAGATGAGATTCAGCAAGGACAAGTGCCTAAGTCTTACACTTGGGATGGAATCATTGTATGCACAAATATAGACTGGAGAATGACTGGCTAGGTTGCAGTACTTCAGAGGAGGACCTACATGTTACAGTGTAGCATAAGCTGAATATGTGCCAACAGTGTGCTCTTGTTGCCAAAAAAGCAAATAGCACGCTGGGCTGTATTAACAGGTCTGTCGCTTGTAAATCAAGAGAAATTATTCTTTCACTTTATTCAGCACTGATGAGGCCTCACTTGGAGTACTGTGTCCAGTTTGGGCTCTCCACTTCAAGAAGGATGTGGACAGATTGGAAAGGCTTTAGCACAGAGAGACAAAAATGATGGCCTGGGAAGAGAGACAAAAATAGTGGCCTGGGAAGCAAAACTTATGAGAAAAGGTAGAAAGATCTAGAGTTATTTAGTCTGGAGAAAAGAAAACTGAGGTGGGATTTGATAGCAGTCTTCAAATACCTGAAGGGGGATTACAGAAAGAATGGAGATGGTATTTTATCTGTGACCCTAGGGGACAAGACTAGAAACAATAAGCTTAAACTGCAGCAGAGGCAATTTAGGTTGGAGACTGGAAGGAAATTTCTGACTATGGGGGTGGGGGCAGTTCAAACATTGGAACAGGCTACCTAAGCAACTGTGAAATTTCAGGAGCAGGTTGGACATGAGTGAAATGGTTTAATTAGGGATGATCCTACCTGGAGCAGGGGGTTGGACTAGATGACCCCAAGAGGTTCTTTTCAGCCTTATTTTCCTATGATCTTATCATCCCACAGTTCTCCATCCTCTCCACTCAAGGGTGGGTGGAGGGTTGTGGGAAGGGAGGGAAAATGATTGACTCCCTGATGGCTCATCCCACCAGCAAGCTGTCAGGGTGCTCTGCAGCAACTGGCTTGTAGGTAGCCCAGGTAGTCCTGGCTGACAGTCAGCAATGGTTGACTGGGCACAAGTGGTAGCAAGGGCTGACTGGGTCATCTCTGCTAGCCAATCAGCCTGTACCACTATGCTTGAGGGTAGCTCTGTCACAATTGTTGGTAGATGGCAATGATGACAGGATTGCAGCACCAGCAGGGATTGATTGAGTAGTCTCTGGCCACCCATCAGCCCTTGCCACCATAGATGGTTTGCAAACAGCCCGTGGTGGCAACGGCTGTTAAGGCTGCAGCGGCAGCAGGCCCTGATTGGGTGGTGGAGACTGCCCAGTCAGCCTTTTGCCATCTCAGGCAGCCCTGACAGCCATTGTCACATAGCAGTTGGGTAGTAGCAACAGCTTGATCAGTCATTGCCACTATGGGTGGCTTTTGGGTGGCCAGATCAGCTGTTACTATGGCAGCAGCAGCTGATCAAGTGAGCCTGTCCTGCTCAAAGACAGGTTTCTTAGTGGTGGAGGTGGGGAGGGGAGCTACGAAGTAACAGCCTATGCTCCCATGGCTAGTGTGTGTGTCTTTGGGCCCCTCTAGATATTCAGGTAAAGACGTATTAAGATCTGATGCATGATCCCCACAATCATCCTTCCTGCTCTGCCACATGTGGCTGGCAGAAGGTATGATTGTGGGATCCAGTGTCAGATGCCTCCATTGCCTAAATGCTGTAGTGCATGGAGCATTCCTGTGGCTAGGAGCCCTGTCAGCTGATGCGACTCACAGCTGCAGGGTCATACCTTGCTACATGTGCAAATAAGGCTGAATAGTAACCAGACATAAAGTTATTATACTTTTTTGAGCAACAACTTTATAGCTTTTTATGGCATGTGATAGCTACTTTGCACTTGTAGCCTTTTTAAAATTAATTGCACAGTTAACAGTTAACTAGTTAATTGCATAATATATGTAACATGCAGAGGGGGCCTCTCTTGCACTCCAGCCAAGGATAGCACATGCACTTCCCCCCATAACAATCTATTTTGTCGTGCTACTACAAACTTTGTAGCACTGCAAAAATAACAGATTAGGGCCTTAGCCCGGGTCTATCCTATAATAATAGGTGCTATTGTACTGCATGGTGACAAACTCAAACTTGTTATAGTAAGACACAGTGGGCTTGATGTCAGCATAGGCCAGTATCTCTCAACCCTTTAAGACTTGAGGCAGCCCTCTGAAAATGCCAACTTTTAAGCTTTCCCTCTTTTTTTGAATACAGAAAAAGAATAGAGTAATTCTTCTGTTGCAAAGAACCCAGGAAGACCACAGTAGATCAGAATGTTTTTGATATTGAATTCTTGTTTGAAATCTCTAGGTTTATCTTATGAATCATGAATGCACATCTAACAGGGCAAAAGTTGCTTGGCATCCTGGGGCACCCTTGAAAAAGATCTCAAGGCACCCCAAGGGACAGTGGCATCCTGGTTGAGAATCACTGGCATAGGCTATGCAATCCCTCTGGGCGCTGGCTCTTATTTGGGTGGCTGTTCTTTACTGAAGCCTGTGTTGCATGTGTACTACAATTTAAAGTTGTATAAACATTTTAAATGTAAAATTGTCCACAACTATGGCATATTCAAATCTGCTGTTTTATTTTTAAACTTGCATTATAAGCTGAAGGCAAGTAATATGTGTATGTATTATGTGCTGGCACTTTTCTACTCTGTTGATATTGTTCTCTAGGTTTGATTCCCAACTTTATTTCATAGCTGATGTCTTTATTTTTGCAATCGTATGCTGTATATACTGTAAATGTTAAATACAGCTCACTAAAATAGATAACCTGTATTCTTTGTTCCTTTTTGGTATTTCAAGTCTTAATGGTCAGACTAGACTTAATTCATTAAACTAAAAATACAGAATCATTTATGGAATAAGTAAAGGTTGTGTGTGCCATAAAAAAACATTTAGATGGAGCCTAGATTAAAACACCAGGTAACACCCCTCCTTAACTCTATGGAGAATTAGGATGTGGTTTCAGATCCAAACTTTCTGTGTTGGGATAAGATCTGCTGAGAGAGAATACAGACAAGGAAATAACACACCAACTTGTAATTAGTCACCTGCATGTTAACAAAATTGAAGGTTTTTTCTTTTCTTTTCTTTTACTAGCATCAAATATACATCCCTTCTTCCAGTCATCATACTTGTTGTGGCACTTGCCGAAATGTGTCATGTCCTTTTTATTCTGCGAATGGAACACTAGCTATATATGAAGTAAGTACTCCTGGGCAGCTGTAACAAATAGTATCAATAGCACATGGCTTTACTCTGGTTTCTGACAGGAATCTATTTGGTGGCTATATTATGAGAACTTATTTTCACCTTTCTTTTGGTGTAATCACATGACTTCTTTTTCATTCTTTCAGCCAGAAAATAGTTGAGAGCAAAAAAACCCTGAATTTAGTGCCTGACTTTCAGCAGTGCGAAGCATCCACAACTTAAGCTAGGGGGCTAAGCACTTCCTAATATCAAGCTCCCTAGAACACAGGAATTAATATTGATGGAAGGACTTTGTTTAGGAGAGTTTTTGCATGTTTAAATATACCCACATTTGGCAGTATGGATTGCAGAAAGAGGACAGAAACAATTGTTACCATTACATTTTTATGATAAAGAAGACTTGAAGCCTAACATAATGGCTGCTTGCCAGCAACCAATGTTAGTGACTCTTCTACTGTTTGGCCCCCCTCTACAAGTGCAGGTAAAGGCACAATTGGATCTAATCCATGTTCCACACAGTTGCGCTTCCTGCCATGCCACAGGAGGTGTGATTGTGGGATTGCACATTAGATCCAATTGCACCTTATTTCAGGTGTAGGGGAAGCCCGATCCTGGGCTTCCCCTGAACCAGCAAGAAGCAAGCTCCCACAGCTGGGGACCATGTGCAGTTAGGATGGAGTGTTCCACGCCTCATGGGGCTTTTGGTCCCAGCTGCACCACATGTGGGGCACAGCTGGGGCTGAGGGCCCCATCAGTTGTGGGACTCAGCCCCTTCAGCTTTGGGGGACTGCTATGGTCTCCCAGCTAGCAGTGGAGGGGGAGAGGAGTGCCCCTCAGCTGGGAGTTCACAATGGCTGCGAGATCCCAGTAGCTGAAATCTCTCAGCTGTTGCCTGGAGTGCCCTTGCAGCCCTGCAGCTGGGAGGCTGCATTCTCCTGGAGGTGTGTTATGCTCCTCAGCAGATGGGAGATCACAGCACCTGTGGTCTCCCAGCTGTAGGACAGCCTACATGTGCAAATTAAAGCTGGATAGAAACCGGCTATAAAGTTATTACACATTTTTAAGCAATAACTTTATAGCTGATTAGACCTTTTTAAGGCACGATACTTAAATTTCACATGTAGCCAGTCTAAATTTATTGCTCAATTAGCAAGGTAATTGCACAATAGATGCAGCATATAGAGGGGGCCTCAGTGTGTGTAGCTTTCAGAACCATTGTAAAGCAGTTGGGATTGTTTAAGAACTTGCATGTGATAATATAAAATTAATACTTATTTGTATCTGTATCATTTTAGATTGAGTTAAATTTTGTGTGAAGCTATTAACAGCATTTATTACCTTACTGTTTATATTTCTTCCACAAAGACAAATATGGTTGTTGGCTCTGCTGACTAGTACATTGGTAGGAATATTACCAAGGTCACGATCACTTGCTCCCTTTCCTGTTATATGGGAGGTGAAATGACCTGCTAATGGGAGTTTGAACTCTCACTTTTTGCAAATTCTAGTTATTTAAAGAAAAGAAGGAAAATAGGGAAGATTTGTCATGTCCCTTTACCACCCTGGAAAGACATGCAGTTTGACTCTTAAGGGCCTTTCCATTGACTTCAGCTTTTGATCACATCTGTAGTGGACCAAGTGCCTTCATAGCCACGCTATACTGAGACATGTAGGGTGCAGACAGATGTTAGAGCCCCCTCCCCAACCAACAGACCTGTTGGGCTAGCAGGGAGGGGTGCTGGAGCTAGCTTGCACCAGCCCTGGCCAGCAGGTTGGGGGCAGTCGAGCAGCCTTGGAGGAAGCTGCTGGACCACCTCTCTCCCCAGCTCCCCCCCCCCCCCCCCCCCCCCCCAACTCTAGGGCTGTCAGAGGGGGAGGGAGGAGGAGGGTGAAGTTGAGGGAACTCCCAGCTGCTGAATATCTAGAGCTGAGGAGGAGCTGTGGGGGAGAATGGAGCCCCCTCACTGTGCAGGTCCACCCCACCCACCAGCTACCCCCAATACCACAGCCAGGGTAGCTGGGGGGAGGGGTACCTGTGAGGTAAGGGAACTCCATTGTCAACCCCCACACCGACTTCCTCCTCAACTCTGGACATTCAGTAGCCACGACCACCCTCTCCTTTGCTCTCCCTGCCCCTGACAGCTGTTGGTGGGGCAAGACTGTGCTGGTAGCATTAGCCCAGTCCCACCCCCATGCAAAAAATTAATCCTGGAGGGAACACAAGTTTCCTAAATTAATCTGCTTTTGAGCACCTTACTGTGATACCTGATTTAACCAGGTTAATTTTTCATACCATCGGTCATTTTAAAAACACTCTGCAGCCATGCATGTGTGTTGTGACATGGCTGTAAAGCGCTTCCAGGGGCCAGATCATTCAAAAATGCCACTTCTCTCTGTGCCCATAAGGGCTACTGTAACATTTTGTCTACTCTGTTGGTTTTTTTTATAGGAGGGGAGCACCTGGAACTCCAACTGTACTAAATATGAGTGTGCAAAGACTGATACAGGTGCAGTGATACTGGGATCTAGTGTTGCCTGTCCCCCCTTTAATGAGACTGAATGTACAAAGGTTTGTAGTGTGTGATGACAAATTATAATGATGAATCTTTTGTTTTGGAGCTTGGTCTTCTCTTCAGGTCTGACATGCATATTGCAATTTCCATAGAATGATTAATCTAGAAAATATGTTGGTAAGTAGAAAAAAACAAAACAAATATAAACCTTTAAATGAGTAGTTCATGGTCTTGTGGTTTATATTTTTGTTTGTTTGATTTATATCATATAATCCAAGTGAAGTTTGCTGTTAGGATTTTGTTTAATCTGTATCAAGCCTGATGCATTTGTTTCTATAGGTAGTTGCTTCAATACTTCTTATTTTAATTCTGAGGAGGGCCCACAGTTTTCAGAGTTTATAAACCAAATAATCCAGCTCAAGCAGCTTTGAAACTTTGCAGATAAAGGTGGCATAGTTTCAAAATTCCTTAAATTGAGCAAGGATTAGAAACCTGCCAAAGTGCCCAAAGACTTTGGGATCTCTGTATAACAAGCAGCTCTGCTTTGTGAAGATTATAAATTACTTGCGTATACCTACCTAAAATGTAAAGTCTATAAACCAAAGAACTGTGGTTCAGAGAATTTGAGTATTTCATACTTGTCCTTTTTTGTTTAAAGAATACTTGTTTTCAGCTTAAATTTGTAGCATACAGAATTATTTTTGTATTTTTGGTGCATTCTTGATGCTAATTTCTTCCAATCCTGAATTAAAAATTGCATCATAAATTGAACTGTATTTATGCTTTGGCACTATGCCAAAAACTTCTCCTTATTGTCAGAACCTTGTCATCACGTTTTACTCTTTAACAACAATCCAGATTTTCATGAATTAGCTTCCAGAATCTGTCTGAGTTTACATTCAGAAACTCTAAGCATTAACTTCAAATGAGAGCCAGTTTTGGACAGTAGGTCAGATTAATTTAGGATTTAACAAAGATTTAAGGTAACTTTTTAGCACTTTTATTGGAAATCTTGATCAACATGTGTTATGATTTTCCTGTAATGGTACAGAAAAACCATACTTATGGGGTATAATGCAAATAAGTAGTTTTGTTATCTTTTGTATGTTATTTTTACTAAAGTACCGTGCTGCTGCTGCTGAATTTGTAATTTCTGTATATGTAATAAGAGTGAGCAATGAAGTTTTTGTATATGCCTGTATCAGGTAAGGGAAATCCCTTTTTTATTAAAACGTCCTCATGTTGTACTTTCTTCACTCCTGCTTACACACTGTTTGAGAAGAAAACACTAACAAAGATTAATTACAGTAAAGGAAAGGAAACTTGTATGAACTGATGAATCGGAATATATATATTACAAATTACAAAATTAAAGAGATTTTGTTGTGAAGAGCTCTCTGTCTATAGCTATACAGAACTAGCTATAGTCTGCTAGTTTCTGTAGTACATAAGCAATATAAATCCCTTTTTAATTTGCAGCAAACATGTTATATTCGTACACTGAACTTTTAAAGTGTCCCAGTAGCTCCTGAGGATGGGGAAATGATGATAATGTTTATGAAAACTGACTGTTCTGTTGATTCAAGGGAAGCCAGTTGAGATAAGCACAGTCATAACAACAAGCTCATTTTCAGCTATTACATTTTAAAACAGTTCTGAGATTTTTAATCCATATCCTCTAATGGTGTAAATGTGTGCAACTCGATTGACTTCATTTTTGATGAGATGCCAATCTACACCAACTGGAGATCTGGCAATTCGTATCCTAAATCTATTCAGATATAATAGGGTATTGCATTGGGCACAGTCTTTTTTGATATATTTTCCTCTTCTTTTCCTAGAATGGAGGCACTGTACAGATTTACAATGATGGCTGCTGCAAGACCTGTAAGTGAAGAAGGCTGCACTACATGCTAGTTTGGCTTTGGTTTTGGAGAGCTGTGTTTTTTAACCTCAGTGGCTGGGACATAAGGAAGAAAAAAGCATGCAGTTCCCAAATCAAGCACAAATGTGATAGTTCTTTTTTAACAGCTATTTATTGAAAGGTCTTGCTTCATATGGCTGCTGACACGGTGATTTTTAACCTTATCGTTCTGGAGTATAACCAAATCTCTCCAAAAACAGCCTGAGGAAGATGAAAAGTAATCTCATTTGAAATAATGAAATGATTCATTATTGTTAAGATTACTCTAAATGAGTAATCTTAAAGTACTCATTTAATTTTCCTTATAAATGTGCTGAACAAAATTTCTAAAACTAATACCTAATTTGATATTTTGACAAATCTGTGTAATTATGGGTTTTTTCTGGTTTGTTTTCATATGCTTTCTAGGGCAAGGGTACTGAAATGCATTACTTTTCAGATTAAAAAGTTAACTCTTTCCACCCTAGAAAATATATTAAAACCCAAAATAAGGAGTTGCAGAGCATTGAACAGACAATTATTGATGGTAACAAAAGGCATAATTCTATACAAAATGGAGACTGCTTTTGAGCTGAAGATTGGTAGTTTATGATGTGCAAGTTTGAAACATTAGTAATGAATTATGATTTAAGTCATGTGGCAGATTCTGCTTTAATTTACTGATGTTTAAAAACAGAACAAACTTTTGAAAACAGAATCCGCCCATCTGCAATTATGAGCTAAGAAAGATGGTGGTTGTTTAGTTTGGGAATGGTAAACTGCATAAAATGAAACTCCTGCAGAAAGAGTTCCTAAGAAATTTCAAGAATAGAGGTGGTTGGAAACCACAAGTTATCACTCCCCCTTTTTTCCCCCTTTTCACCAGAATTAAAATATTTGGGCAGGTCTTTCAAAAGGGTCATTCATTTACAAGTTAGAAAAGCAAAGCTGAAGAATAATTCACTGAAGTCCATATAAATGAGGTGGGTTTCATTTAGAAAATTAGACTAAAATATTGATGACTACAAATATTTTCTGCGTCTTGCAATATCAGGAAAGATTTAGCTTTCACAATGTTTTGTGGCCTCAGGAAAGGCATTGTTATACTTCAGAAATATTTGCTGAGGTGGCTGCTAAAAATTAAAAAGCACAATACATACATGCTATTTTTATTTTTTTTATTTTATTTGTTTTTTTTAAACTAAAAGCATGTGCCCTGTGGTAAAGCAGTTAAAAACACAATTTAAAAATAGAGCTTGCAACACCTTGGGGTTGTAATGGGAACAAGTAATCCTTTTGAAAAGAGCTTGATTAAATGCATGCAAAGTGAGTTCATGTATTTAATTCTTACCTTGCCATAGTTATAAGATACATATTATAAAAGTTTGGTATATATGGAAATCTCTTCATGGTTTTGCTTTAACCAGGAAAGTAGGGAGTCGCCAGTGAGATCTTTTAGTAGCCACAGAATTTCTAAATTTGGATGACAAAACAGGAATGCTCATCAGTCCTTATAAAAAGAAAAATTGCAGTTGGCAGTGTAAGAATTAATGAAATGTCGTTTATGTAAAAATGTTTATTTCACAAGAAACTTATATTCCTAATAATTCTGCCAGGTTCTGGAATGGGTGTATTACCCTTTGCCATTAGCCCAGTAGTCTCTACTGATAGTATTAATTGTGAACCAGGTATTATTTTTAATAATGTATTTTCTTTTTAAATATTGTAAGCGTTGTTTGTAGCGAGAAACTTCTATATATGATTATCAGTTCAATATAAACAGTATCACATTGATGCTGGCATGAGACTTGATACTAAGAGATGTTGCTCCTCTGTTGGCTTCCCATAGAGCATTGATTTTTTCCTTTCATAGGATTCAATTGCTCAGCACCTTTCAGGTTTAGGCACATTTAATGGTTAGATCATCTTGCTGAAGATCCTTTTTTCCCCACTCCTTTTTAATAGCTGCTTATTTATATTAAAATAATTATCATAAGAATGATGCTTTTACAAATACAATCATCTTGAACTATTATTACCAAATGACCCGAGTTCTATTGTGTGTCTGTAGGAAAATCCATGGCAGAAACCTTTTTTTTTTTTTTAAAGTAGTGGATTTTATTGCTGAGTCTATATTTAGAAGATAAGGATTTATGCAATATTTTGTTTTTCACATCTGCCACTTTTTTTAAAATGGAAAGAAAAGAGAGTTAAATCTTATAGATAGACACTAAGAAAAAAATGTGAAGAACTAAAAGATGAGTTGATGTTTTGTGATGATTATTCTCCATTTTATTATCACTGACATCATCTCAGAAAGCTATGATTAATTTCAACCCTTTTTTTATTTCGGTAAGGAATAGCAAACCAAGCACAACTGGTATTCAACACAGATATTATTTTCAAGCAGCTCACTTTAAAAGGAATTGAAAGGGGGAAAGAATAAGGAATGCTCTCTGTTTCTAAATGCAAAGTATTTTGGAGTTTTTATGACATGTCAGTAACATTTATAAATAGCAATGTCATATAACAACCGACAATAATCTATATGCCTATAATATATTGACATTCAGTGGGACTACTTGAGTAATGCTCAAAAAGCTGAGTAAGTAAAGATGGTGCACTAGTGAGAAGAATTCTGTAGTACACTCTTTTATATCAAAGTCCATCAGGACAGTAACAGTCAATCTGTATATGTATTTAATCCTGTGTTAAGTAGGTTGGCTTCAGTAGTAAGACGCTCCCAATGCACGTGTAATACATCTACTGAAGCTATGGCTCCTGTAACATGCTGCAGTGGGTTATTCAGCATTGGTGGATCTTACTTGCTGAGTTTCTTAGCACTTGCTGATTTCCGTGGAACACGGGGAGTGAGTTGAGGATGAAATAAGACTCCTTTGGGAGGTCTTAATTTACATGCTGGAAATACAAAATGACTATGTAGCAACATAGTTAGCAATTATTTGGAAACAGATTATGAAATTGGTGATGTATAATGTATATAATGAATAGACATAGCTACCTCATATACTGTGACATGTAGGTTTTGTGTAACGTTTACATATGTTCAGTACTCTGATTTTTAGCTTTTCAGTGTTGCAAGTGTCCCTCCTACTTGGATAGTTTTGCTTTTCAAATGCAAGAGGGCGCATCCACAAAAATCCACAAAACCCTTTAAAATGTTGTTATTGCATTAATTTCTATGTGAATTTATTTACCCCAGATGTAACCTAACCAACTCCAGCTCTGGGACTTGTGCATGCACCACATGTGAAATAAATATGTATTTACCCTTTCATCCCATCTTAAAGCTCTGTCAGACCACTCTAACAGAAAGACATTTAAATCTGTATAATTTTCTTTACATAGTACATGCAGAATATACTTCAGGTTTAAGGATTTTTACTTCCTCATGGCATTAGGTTACAGAAATGTTTATAAAATCATATTTATTTTCAATATTTAATAGAACTCAACAGCATTAGCACTGAAAATTCAAGCTAGTGTCAATGATGTTTGTATATTCAGCCTTGAAATACTATATATTACCCTTTTCTGTTTGCTGATTAAATATTTTTATCATGTATGTTTAATCACCAAAAGCATCTTAAACTAAATAGTAAATCATGATGACATTTCAACATTTACCACCTCTTTAAATGTTCCTGGGACTGTTATATCCTGATTATTCCCTAGTTTAAAAGTCTAGATTTTTTTCAGGGAACATTTAACAGCTATATGATATCAGTGTATTAAATATGAATATGTATTACATATGCAAGTGCTTAAGATCTAATGGTGAACATTTGCTAGAATATATGATCTGGGTATGGAAATAATACATTCACTGCATAATTAAATTAAAATATAACTATTTAGCTATTATAATTCTGTGAATGTTCCTTTATTAATAATGAACAAATACAGAGTAGAATGTATATTTAATGAATCAACATTTTCTATGTTTTCTTAGGCAAAAAAGAGGAAAGAATTTGCCAGAAAGTGACAGTGAGAACAACTATAAGAAAGAATGACTGTATAAGTCAAACTCCGGTAAGTATATAAAACTGCATTCTTTCTGCTTCATGGTGAGCTTCAGCTAGCCAAGAAAGCCACATATTAAATAAGGATTGCAGCTATCAGAATTCACCCAAAATGCTGCAATCTTCTCATAACAACTCTGACAATGTTATTCTATTTGTCAGTGTAAGTAAAAATTAATTGTTCCTGCCTATGTGGCAGAAATGCCAACCCCCCCTACATGGAATAACATGTGTCTCCAAATGAAAAGCACACAATATAATTGCCTACCACTGACAAAAGCCATTGACCTCTTCATCATGAAAAAACCTCCCACTCTAAAAGAAGAGGAAAATGTTACCATTTACACATAATGAGAATACCACCACATTCCTCCTTAAGGACCTCAATTATATTAAATGCCCTTTCTTTCTCATAATATATCTCTGCATAACACGGTGATGATCTTCTTTATGAAGATAATTTAAGATATCTGACCTCTGCTTTGGTGATGTTCCATTTATAAACGCCTATTATGTATGTAATGTGTGAATATGTCAATAAGGTGTGGATAAAGAAGAACCAATTAACATAATTGGTTTAAATTTGCAAAAGGTCTGTGACCAAATGCCACAAAAAAATCTGTTAAAAAGCTTAAGTAGTGGTAGGGTGAGAGTAAGGTTTTATGATCAACCAGGAAGTGAGTAGGAGGCAAAGAAAATAATAGAAGCAAATGGTCACTTTTTTGTCTTGGCAAAAGGTTGATGTGAAGTGCTTCAATTTTCGTTATAGGTCCAGTGTTTAAATATATTTACTAATGATCTAGAACAGTGATGCCCAGCCTTTTGGCCCTATGGGCTGGGTGAGTGCCATGGGTTTGCTCCAGGCCAGATCCCATGCAGTCACAAATGGGGTTGGTCCATGGATATATTCTAGTCCCAACATAAATATCAGGGGAATCCCACTCAAAAGTTTAGGGTTGCAGCTGGGCACCCAGTCGGTGCGCAGGAGCAGAGGTTACTTCTGGTTGCTGCCTTGATCACACAGCTGCTGGTAGCAGCCACTTTTTATTGGTACCCACCAAGTTGGTCCCCAGGGCATGCAGCGCTAATGTACCACTGGTAATACCCTTGCTACAATACTGACTCTATTGTCTACTTCTGATTCTGAAAACTGACTGTATGTATGATACCAGATACTAAAAAAAAAAGACTTTGAAACAAATTTAATTCAAAATGAGAACAAAGAATTTAATTAAAAAAAGAGAACAAAATGAGAACAAAGAAATTCACCTCAACTTAAACCTTTTACCATGTGGCTCAGTTTAGATATCTTTCAAATTATTTTAGAAAAGTAACATAATGAAATATAAGCAAGGTACTTTAAAACATAGAAACAGATTCTAATTACAGCTGATTTTGATATTTTTTATTTCATTGTGCAAATAAAATGTGAGATTCTGACCATGTCAATCTTCCTTTCACTGACAGATAAATGTGGCTTCTTGTGATGGGAAATGTCCCTCTGCAACAATTTTTAATGTCAATATTGATAGCCATTTAAGATTCTGTAAATGTTGTCGTGAAAATGGAGTACGGAATCTGACTGTGCCACTCTACTGCTCAGGAAATGGCACTGAAATTATATACGTCATACAAGAGCCTACAGACTGTTCATGCCACTGGAACTGATCATTTCCATATATGTGTATTTTCATATTGAATTGAAGTTGGTTTCCTGTCACTGCAAAAAATGTTCTATCCAAGTGTTTCAGCCAACATGATTTCTTAGCAAATTTAGTAGAAATTGTATAGATATAATGGCAAGAAAATTTTCATATATTGGCACATAGACACATTTCTTCTTCATCTCAAGGTACTAAGGTGTCAGTTATTTACTTCAGTAACTTTAAAAAGGAAAATTATTAGATTGCTTTAAAAAGAGAGAAAAAAAGATTGGTTGTGTTGGATCATCTTTACCTTGCTCAGAAGTTAATTTTTGTAAAAAAAAATTCCTTTTATCTTGGTGGTAGTTCCCCTAGGAATTACATAATGACTAGAACCTGCTTGAATTGAAATCCACTGAGGCCTTATACCCATGTTCAAATAATCTGGGACAATTCTCCCAGGCTTGTTCTCCTGGTAGACAAACTTACCCAGAGTTGCCTGAACCAACATTTGAATACTGAACCCTGGAAGAGCAGAGAGATTACAGTGCTCATGCTGTGTAGCCAGGGGGACCCTGTGCACATATCTTGGTGCGCTCCACAGGCTCCCTCAGTCTGCCTGGAGAAAGAATGGCAGCAGTGCACAGAGCAGCTCAGATTGGAGAGCCCAGATTGCCTGCATCTCCCTACAGCATGTGGGAGTTGTGAAGTGGGTGTGTTCTGTTTCCTGCTCATTTAGAGCAGCAGAGTCCAGCAAGCAACATATTGCATCCATGGCAGGGGTTGCTGGGAACAAAGCCTCCTGGGAAGCTGGAGGACTGTGCTGTGGCTTCTTTCAGAAAAGAACTTGCATAGACATTTGCTCTGCCAGGAGAAAATCTCCTGGGGGTGATTTAACCCTGGTTGTTCCCAATTATTTTTTTCCTGGAGTGGCCATTTTTATTTTGGGAGAAAAATCCTGAAGAAACTGAATGTCTGAGACATGGTCTGAGTAACTTTGTGACTGACATCGTTTTTTTTTTGTACGTTTAAAAATCTATGGCATAAATACTAATATACTATTATGCTTTAAAACTATAGCATTTTGCTTTTTTAATACCCCATAGCTTTGATTATTGTAATTAGTCAGAAGGAACTAAAGGGATCTGACTGTCACAATTATTATAAATATCTAAAGATTTGCTGTGGAGAGCAGGCTTATACTTCACCTTGATTTTTTGGTTCTTATAATCAATCAGAGGAGAAATTGGCTATTTACTGAGCTATTGAAGTGTCAAATGAGATGCCATTAATATATTTTCACTTTTGATAATAAATCAAACAATGCACCTTTTAGATGTTTTACTTGAGTTTTATCCTTTGTTTAATGGACAGAAATCTTTGTATTCAATATTTTTAAATGAACTAAATGTCAAGATTGTTTAAAAAATATTAAGGATGGATGCATTGCTTTAATCAGAGTTCTGTCATATGGAGTCTGGGAAAGGATAGTTTGTGGGTGGTTTAGTAAGCAGCTAAATTAAATAAAAGCATACAATATGTTACACATAGTCTTGTATTCTAAGCAGCAAATGTATTTTCCATTTTCTTAGCCATGGACTATTTATTGCCATATTAAGAATAAAAGATCTAACATGTCCAGGAGTAGATTGCCCTATGAACTCATTGGCTGAATTCTTTG